TGCGGCCCCTCTGGCGCCTCACCCAGGGGCCCTGCTGGCTGCTCTTGCGCTCGGGCCTGCTGCGCTCTCCCCACGGGCGAGCCCTCTGTGTCATCCTCTCGGGCCTCAAATCTGCCAGATTTCCACCCCCTACTCATGGCCACCACTGTTTTACGGATGATGGTGATGCAGGCTGTGAGGTTTGACAGCCATCCACTGTGTTTCCAAAATCCCCGGCCCTCCCCCTGAGGAAGGTGAGGTGTGAGTTTGCTCTGAAATGCGTGTAGTTTCTGCAGAGGGAACTGAGACCCACTGTGGCTCTGAGGTGTCTGAAAAATGCATCTTTAATGATGGCATCTTTATGTGATCTTTAATGCATCTTTAAAATTATCACAGTCAAGGTTTACTTACATTCTTCAACAGGCTAAGGACATGATGCAGCGCCTCAAAAACTAATACATAATTAAGAGGATATGCCACTAATGATGCAATTCCTTCAAGTTAATTCCAATGGAGGGGAGGAGGAAATTCTCAATAACTCCAGGAATTTCACTGAACAGGTTCCCACAAAACAGTTTCTGAGCCTTTTTTCATCGGTGTTACACCCGCTGCTATCATTTGTCAACAGTTTCACCACAGCACATAGGTGGAAAAGAAACAGCACAAAAATGACCCTTGTAAGTACTTCAGGGATGGATTTATCAGGTGGGCATTAGTCCACACAGGCGCTGCTCCGTGTGGTGAATACGCTCTGGATTGTGACACACAGGTGGCCATATAGTCACGCACACCCTCTGCGCCTGGCATGGCAAAACCAAACTGCTTCTCGCTGCAGATTCAGATCCCCCTCCTCTGCCTTTTGTTCTGAGCGGGGACTCAAGGAGAGGTTTTTGGAAACCAAGGGGTTTTGTAGACCATTGTAATGGTCTGGAAATTGAAGACGATGACAGGAAGCTGAAGGTGAACCTTTACCCGAGTCCACAGCTGAGAAAATAACACAGCCACAACCCTACCTGAGGCAGTGAAGATGGCCCATGCAGCCAGCTGAGCTTCCGCAAAAGACAAGCGGTGATGTCTTTTACCATCTCCTTGTAGACTAGGCTCCCATGTACTGTAAATTTTTCCCTCTGCTTCAGTACTTTGAAAGAGTAAATCTGATCTAAAATTTCATAGAACCTTTTAGGTTTAGTATTTTACTCCTTCTCAAGAGTCTTTATGAGTCAGTTCTGGAAAAATCAGAGGCACTGGAAGAGCTCAGTCTGACCCAGGAAGGCAACTAAGACACTGTTTTAAATTTTATCTGAGATTCAAACTGGTAGTCCTTTGAGCTGTGGTTTCCACTCCTGCCTGTGTCATTTTCCTTGATTTATCATCAAAAGACTGTTCCAATTAGTCTATCCTGCCTTTAATTTCCTTGCATTTAATTACTCATGTTATTATTTTTCTATTTATTTAAGCTACTGGGAGGCAAGAAGCATCAGTGGCTAGGGAAAACAACATGCTCCTGTACCAATCCCCCTTGCACAGTCTGACGGTGTATCAGTGTCCTACAATCTCCCTTCACCTTTTATTTTAGCTCTGAAGAGCAATGGGCAATGCCGTTTCTGAAGTCCACTTTCACCACTAAGAAGCAGGACTATATGGGAGAACGAGGAAATAAAGCATCTTAAAACCCTACTCTCTTCTTCTACTTCATGGCTTTTTTAAGCAAGACTTGAAACACACGGGGTACTTTACAGGACAAAAGACAAGTGCCATTTCCCAAAGGACCTCAAGTTCTATTTTTAGAAATGATGCAACATCACAGAGAAGCGACCGCTGTGAGGAAGGGTGTCACAAGACTGATGTTGCTCGATGGTCCCGTTTTGTTTTGCTCTCACCATGTCTTTCCCCTCCCTCTTTGAAGATCTCTGTGCTGCAGGTCCAGGAGGAGGATTTCTTTGGGAGATGGGATGAAAATGCTCAAGGCCTGAGAGCGGCATGGAAGAGCTGAATGCATGAAGGACAGCATCACAAATAGAACAAACGTGCTTAAAATGTGCTAGATTTTGTGAGAACATACGGAGCTTTGTTACCACTGCAGAAGTTACATGTGCTCAAAAAACCTGAAAACTGTTTCAGCAACACCACCGATAGTCTTGCCACCAATTACGCAGATGCCCCATCACAGAGCAGGTTTCTACGGCCCTCTTATTTGCATGGCTTCTCTTCTAATATAGCAACAGAGGAAGCTCACATTATATGGGAGATGCAGTGGAGCTAACGACAAACAGAGTGCTAAAAACTGCAACGGTAACTGGCTAGACAGCAGCACTCAGAGCGAGCAGCAGGGGAGAAGCCACACTGGGAACTACAAAGGACCCAGTCCTGCAGGGTCCGGGCTGCAGCAGAGGGGGGCAAAGGCGAAGCTTTTTGTCTCTCTGAGCTCCTCCTCTCCAATGCGCGGAGTTGAAGGGCAGTGAATGGGGAAGCGTCACAGCGAGAATTCCAGAGAAATTCCATCTCTGGGAAGAAAATTCCACGTGCTGTTTCCTAAAATACTTCCATGCCTTGTTTCATTCTGTGCAGGAGTTTTATAAGGAAGAAATATGATGTATCTGTATCTTGCAGAGCTCTTGGGCTTAATTCTCCACCACCTTCTGAAGATGGCAAGGAATATGGGCATTCAACATACATTCCCTTTCACGCTGAGGCTTTAAGACATTGATTTTTCAGACATTAAGACAGCTACAAGCAGAGTAGCACAAGTGTGTGCTACTGCACGTTGTGAAGTGTAAGCCTACAAAAGCAACTCCGCCCCTGCAAAACTCTGTGTTACTTTGCAATTAGTTCAATGCAAGAATAGAAAGCAAACGGTTACCTGAAGGTGTAAGCAAGTGAGCAGGGCTGGAGCTGCCTTCTCAGCCTGAACTCTGAAGGTCTGAGAGGCTTATTCAGGCTTTGCTCTTCATTAATACTAGTTTAGCAGCAGGGATAGAAAAAACATTTTGCCTGGGGCACTGCCTGTTCCGTGCCTTCCCTGTTCCCGATGCTGATCGTTCCCAGTGCTGATCTTTCCCTCCATTCCCCAAGTCATGAAACAGCTTTCAAACCTCCCATTTTGCAACTTAATAAATCCTCTCCTCACCAGGCCTTGATTTTTTTTGCCTTTTTTTTTTTTTGTCTTTTCTTTCTCCCCTGACTGGAAAAGAGTGACACAGTTTCTCTTTGCTTTTGGCTTCCTCTCTGGACCCAGAGCCTCTTACTCCAAAGCCTTTTTGAGCAATATGAAGTCCCATGCCGACATGGTGGTTCCCAGTTCTGCTTAATTACATGGATTGGACAGGCACAGAAACCTTTTTGCAAGGGCTTGGGAAGGTCTCTCTTCTAGATAGGTGCAGACCTCCAGCCAATGTTCAAAGGAGGACTAAAAATGTCAGGATGTCATATTAAAACACACCTTTCCCATGATGACTTCCCCAGCAACCAGCCACCTTCCCTATCAGCTCAAGAGCATCAGATGCTGCAGATAGGAAAAGCCACTTGCACATTCAGTGAGTGAGCAAAGGGGACTGTACGTGCCAAGAGATGGCAGGAGGGGATCCGAGAATTCCTGGGCCAGCTTTTAGTGTCTCTTTACACAGGATGGATCCTGGAGCAGAAGAGGACCCTGCCCCACTCCTAGGTCCACCACCTCTGTAATTGATGCTTCTCTCTCCAAGCTGATGAAGAGAAAATAAGACCAGTGAGACCGATGGGCACTCTGCAGGGTTGTCAGGCCTTGCGATGGAGTTGGTAAAGGCTGATCACCTGCCTTTTGGCTGCCTTTCCCTGTGGGTAGGGCTGTGGTTCCCTACAGAGACAAGTGTTATGTGTGGAAAAGGATACAAGGAAAGCAGGAGAAACACATGCGGCACACTGAAGGAACACAGGGATGCTCCAGGCACTCAGGTGGCAAGTTCTGCCATCACAGTTGATACTCAAATGAGCTCATGTGGGGGGAACTCCTTAGCTTCACTACAAGGAAAACAAATAGTGACTTCCATCCTTCTGACAAGGATCTCACTTGGTAGGCAGGTCTCAGATTTCCATTGAGAGAGTTAGGCAGCTCTGTAGCAATCACACATTTTAGTTCAATTATGATGCCCATACCAGCAGCAGGTCTGTATTTTCCTCCAGCGCACTGCTGGATAGCATAAGCTGCTCTCAGTCTCCTTCTACCAGTCACAAGAAACTGATGCAGTTACAGAAGCAGCACCTTACCCTTGAGTAACGGTGGCAGAAGACCTTTTCCTGCTGGGATTTCAGATATCCAGCTTTGATTTGTGTCTGGAGCCATTTTAGTAATGTGTCTAGGTGTCAGCAATCATCCTCAGAAGTCTGCAGCATACAGCAGCACCAATTTGTAAGACAGGAGATGAATCTGACTTTGTACAAGAGATTCAAATACACGCACATCCCCAAATTCCCCCAAAATACAGGACTCTTACTCACAATAAAGGATGAGCTTTCTTAAAACTGATGAGTCTTAGTTTCTCAAGCAGGTTCCTGAAGATTTAAGTTCTTCTACTCTGCAACAAGCCATTCCTCTTGACTGACCTGAACAGACACCGCTTCCTTTTCTCAGCACGACTGGTGTCACAACATGCTCTTACCAAAGAAAACTGCTAGCTTTATTTTTATTGGAAATGATGGATGCAGTAGCCAAGAAAGTAAAAAAAGGCCTTTTAGCAGTGGAGTGTTGCAGCATTTGTCATATGAGGACAGCGAAGATTTAAGCTATCTTGAAAAATTAATTCTTAGTGCGCTTCTCTGAAAAGCACCAGTCCGAGAGGGACAGGCTTCTTCTAGCTGGGAGTTCAGCAAGACAGCATTGTTAATGTTTTTCTTAAAAAGTGTTATCACTGAACAAGTTTGTTACTGTGAGGAACAGGCAGAAAGTGAGGAGTATGAGAGCAGAATGGAAGGAAAGGAGCAGTGTGTGGTTAGTGTTTTATCACACTCAGTTATTAGCAGATACTCAAGTTCAATTCCACCCGTATGTGAGCTCCCAGAGTTCGCAGAAAATTGATTAGGCGGTCTCTCCAGCAGCCTCCGCAGGCAAACTCTGCCAGGTCTCTAGGGGGTATTAACGCCTACCCTGACCCCTGCCAGGCAGAGATGGGAAAGACCTCATGACCCTGAGTAAGTGAGCAAGGCCGATGCGCACAGCAGAGTTGACACTCGCCAGCCCGGCTCCCCGACCTGTTGCGATCGATCTAATGCTTCATTACGAGTCCTCCTCCAACCTGCGAGCAACCCGCTGGAGTCATAACGCACATAATTTGATTAGTCAGCTTTATCGAAGAGTTTGCCCAAGAGCTCCAGCAACTCTGCTCCAGAGAATGTCACCTTCAACAACCTGGCGGCTCATCTATCTGCAAGTGTTTGAAGCATGTGAAGACATAAAAGAAACAGGTTATTACAAGGCAATCAAGTCAATGAAGTGAACATGAAGACGTTGACTGACCAACTAGATCAGCACGCACCCAGAACCAGCACCGTGTCCACGCAGCACTCCAACCGTCGAGACAAGAAAATGAAGTGGATGGAGACGGGGCG